ACTCTAGAAAACCAAGATCACATATTCGTCTACAACACCACGAACTCCGCGCGCCGACCATTCACCTCCTTACACCAAGAAGATCATAAGTAACCATAAAATACGATCACATAATCTATAATATTTAAAACACATATTAAATATTAAATTCATTATACTAGTTTTTCAGGTAGTTGTATGCCTAATAAACATCAAAAACCACAAATCCCATCTACACTATCTAATACCCAAACCCCAAACACACCAGCAACCAATTTCAAATATTTAAAAAGTAGTTTTCAATTTTATCAAATTTATGTTTATTTAACCATTAGATTTTAACTTTTAAAACGTTTCAATTCTGACATACATCATTTGAGACATATCTGACATAGAAAATTAAAATTAAATTTTAATTAAAATAAACTGATAAATATAAAAAATAAAACCATTTTAACAATGCAATAAGAACGTTTGGAATTCATAAAAACCACTTGTTGATCATCTTGATAGTTCGAAAAATATAAATAAAGTAAAGCTATCCCTCTAACAGGCCATGAAGGCCCATAAGGTTGTGAGACGTTGAGGGTCCCACATTATCTAGACAATCGGCTCAAAGATGGCGGTAAGGTTGTCAGCCTTACGCTGTAGACCCATTGATAAGTTAATTAATTAATTTATAGCGAAGACTAAATAGTGAAGTTTGAGTTTCTTACGGCAGACATTATGAGTGCCACTTCTTCTACCGTGAAGATGGAGACTGTGCGTTCCTAAAAAGTTTCATACTAATCTACAGTACTAAGTGAAGTCACATCCTGGACGACTTTAATCCTTGAAAGTTTTGTAACAGGGAGTTCAATCTCTGAAACTGCGCAATTTCCTATTACCATAGCAAAGACTTGTGAGCGTTAACACTTTCCAGGAACGAGATAAGACTTTCGTTTCTGTGTTTCCTGTCTATTCTTTGAGTACTGAATATATATTATGTGAATATGTAAAATGTAGTAGCCGATCACGAAATATATTCGTTTGGTCGAACCCAGGAATCGTTGGTTCGAATCCAAATGAAGACATGAATGTCTGTATGTGCGTTTATTCTGTGTTTCTGTTGTCCTGTATGTATGTATCGGCCTTGAGAAGGGCTTAACGCTCGTCCAAGGAGTCGTACCTACTGTGGAAAAGGATTAGGAAACTGAAGAAGAGGTCAGGCCCCAATGAGATGCTGTGGAGCCAGTCATTATATTATTATATACCTAAAATGAATTCATATTATGACGGTAGGTGATTTAAGGTTATGAAGATTTGTAATGTTTCGTTCTGTTTCAAAACATTTCAGAGTTCTGGTCTGAAATTAACAGGAAAACCGAAGTGGAACCTTGATAGGTGTATGTAAGCAACACAACGGCAACGTTTCAATAAGATTGCTTGATTTCATGTTTCCATGAATAGCTTAGAGCGTATTTCAGTAAACGCTACCCTATATGCCTCCGGTTAATTTCGAGCATATTCACAACAAAACCGAACAATCATCTGCAGTACGTGTGTATGCCTGATGCCATTGGTGGCCTCTGTGGCAGATTCCATTAGGAAATAAACTCCAAAAAGTTATACTAATTCGGCTACCTGATTCATACTGGTTTCTAGCTTGGCTTATTATTCGACCCTGAAGATGGACCCGACATGTTTCTCTGAAACGTCAGTTGACTTTCAACGGACTACAGGATGTTATGTCCCAGAAGATAGAACTCCTGAATATTATTCAATTTTATTTGTATAACGTATCGCCTCCATCTTCAGGGTAGAAGAAAAAAGAAGAAAATCCGCGAATGAGGAACCAGCGTGAGCAGGTGCTCACAGACTAATGTCGAGTCGACTAAACCCAGCTGTATAAGAGCAGGAAGGGAATGGAGAGGGGCTGCATGGGAAATCAGTAGAGAGGAGAGGGGAAGGGTCTGTGGAGCTGGACCCGTAGGTAGATGGAGGCGATACGTTCCTCCGAAACGTCGATTAACATAATATCTACACGGCCCCACGTTCCAGAAGACGGCTTTCTTCATAGTCACCGCCGTAAGAACCTCAAATCTAACTTAAGTTCTTCACAAAATTATAGAACCTTGTGTTGCCTGAATAGTACCCCACAGACAAAAGAATCATCATTACAGGAATAACAAAGTAATCGATTCTGAAGAGAGATGTTTCGTCATATTTCAGTTTTTTTATACATTTAGACACAGCTGACAGAAGGAATAATTGCTTCTGCTGAAATAAGAACTTACCTCTGGTGTGTCATACATCGTTCTCTCACTCAGTTAATTCATGTCTGGTTCTTGCTTGGACAGGGTTTCCTTACAAACAGCCCTCCCCCGTAGCAACACTAGGCCGTATTTGTGTAGCTCCCTGTTTGCAACCATGTCACTCTGTCACTTTGCCGTCGGCATAATCAATCGGCCTACATAGTGCCAATGGCTGTTTTTCTACCTTCGAAATCGATCTCTTTTATGCAGAGACATTTGGGTTAATGGGAAGAAACATGTAAATGTCGTATTTATACTTGTCTAGTGTGTTATTTGCTGAACAGAAGTTCATCAACGCCGGTTAGTCAATGAAGAATTGGAAAGGATGTGGAAACGACCGATCGTGAACAAGTTTAATGTGCTCTTTCTGCATTTGCCTGAAGGAACAGAAGAAATCCGTTCTCTGGCTTCAAATTTCGACTCGGAACCTTTGGAATGCGTGGCGGTGGGGTAACACCTCGACAGAAATTTTCGGTCAGCCATTTCTGCTGCACGAGTAGCCAGTTTCAGGCACATTGCTTCTATTGCGCAAGTCACATTTGCGCTTCTAGACTTCTGATTTCCTTTGGTTCTTTGTTTATTTCAAGGCTCTATGCCAGCTACATCGGTTTCTTACTGTCGTCTGGAAAATTGCAGGATTATTAAAGTGGCGTATTTACTCCATGCAAGAACTGTTGACCCACATAAACAACCGTTGCTAAGTAATGTACTCACGCAACAGTAGAACAACAGGTTTATGCAATCCATTTCTAGGAAACGGTTCGGTAAACACATTTCGCGTATCGGACCGTACTATGCAACGCTGACTTATCAAGAATGCGGACTCTGTTTTCCGTGGGGTCTGTGCAGAATGCTTATAGAAGAAGTAAATTCAGAAGCTAGGAGTAGTTGAGAGTACAAGGACCAGAATGGCGCATGTCCTTAGTGAACTGTGAAGATTAGTTGAGTACAGATTAGGACAGAGTACAAAGTGACTGAAGACAAGAAGATTTCACAGTAATTTGAAGTTATAGTTTCTGGTTTGAGACCCGTTGCTAGGAGACGACTAGTGGAAACTGAGAATGCTAGTGCGTGTGCAACGGTGAATTGCAAATTGTATGAATCAGCGATAGCGCTGTGTTAATTGTAATTAAGAGCCATTGTAATTGAAGTGTCAGTAAATCCAATCATCGGCCACGCCATAGCTCAAGCGGTTAGTCGCTGGCTTCCCACCCCGGCGGCCCGGGTTCGATCCCGGGTCTGGTCAAGTGGGATTTGTGGTGGACAAAGTGGCGCTGGGGCAGGTTTTCTCCTAGTACTTCGGTTTACCCTGCCAATCTTCATTCCACCAATTGCTCCACAATCACTCTCACCCATCATCTGGGGCTGGTACAATAGGCCAGGAGTGGTTGCAGTACAAGGGACTGAGTTCCACCCCACTAGCAATAAAAAATTTTAAAAAATCCAGTCATCAGAAATAGAATCCGTTAATTTCGTCACCCTTACTCTCCTACACATGTCATTTTGCTTCCTCAAATATAACAGTCGTCTGCAGCCTAGGTCCCTTATTTGCTTGCAGCTTCGTAAGTGCTTCTTTTAGGCCTCGATGCTAGCAACGGATTTTAACACAGAAACTGGCATTTCAAATAACTATGAACTCATCTTGTTATTTCGTCTTTAGTCACTCTGTACTCCTCTGTCCTAATCTGTACACAACTGATCTTCACAATTCACTAAGGACATGCTCCATTCCGGTCCTTGTACTCTCCACTGCTCCTAGCTTCTGAATTCCCTTCTCTTATAAGCGCTCTGCACAGATCCCACGAAAAACACAGGCCGAAATTTTGACGGCGTCACTGCCTTGCATAGCATGTTCTGTTAGCGGAAATATGTCTACCGAGCCGTTGCGTAGAAATGGATTGCATAACCCCGTTGTTCTATTGTTGCTTGATTGTACTACTTAGTAACGGCTGTTTCTGTGGCTCAGCAGTTCTTGTATGCATTAAATACACCACGCTATGATTGAGAAGGATGCGGGATATATTGGTGTGGTCTCTTTTAAGTTTTATTCCTAAATGCCGGCGGGGACTGAGGAAACATGGAACACTTCGATCATAATAACCGCCCTGGAACCGTCCAAAAGTAAGGAGGATATTTTCCGAAAAAAAAAAATAATGTGAGAGAAAGCCCACTCTTTCTTTACTTTCCTGTTTTAACGTTAGTGTCATACACAGAAAGGAAATGTTAGCAATCATAACATGACTGGCCTTGTTTCTCTTACTGTGAATGCAGACAGCTTTTTCTCTTATGCTTTTTAATTGAATAACCATCTCTCTAAATACGTTATATGTTTACAGGAAACAGAATTCTTTGGTAACCAATTAAATATTATGGTGGCTTCGACCAATAACAGCGACAAAACCCATGGATTTAGGCTAGTAGAATCGAATTGAATTTTCTTTTGGACCTTGAATTACATGCATCCAGAATTCGGGTCACAGCATTCAGTTATATTCATTCACTTATAATTTTGCAAACAGCTTTATCATCTTAATCCTTTATGGACTGCACCCATGTCATGTGTTACCGAAGTTTATCGTTCATATACGTGTACCTTAAGAAGATCTCACTAACTTTCGCCATACCGGCCTACTCTACGAGATGGCATTGGCTAAAAGCACCAACATGCCTAAAATATAAGTCTCTGTCCTTGAAATAAGATTGAAGCAAGTTATGGTCTGCTTTCAGGACGCCCTGAGGTGTATCCAGCCAACAAAACTTTGACTGCCACCACAGGACAGCGCCTGTCCCTCACTGTGGAGTTCTGCGCCAACCCGCCGGCCTCCAGAACTCTCTGGCTCACAGATTCACGCGTCTTGAGGCCCGGTGACGTCACGGATACCCTAATCGCCCACAATATCACGGTAAGTGTTTGCTTTTATGCGCATGTATTTTTTAAAATGATGTAAAATAACCATTTTCGCTATTATTGCAGTTGTCTCAAATGCAACCAAAAACAGCCAAATGAATAATACGGACAAGTCAGAAGTGACAGGGTTTGAGACGTCTTCAAGCTTGTCACAATCTTAGGATTTATTTCTTCTTATTTACTTATTTATTTATTCGAACCATCCTTCCCATCTAACACAATCCATCGAGTAGGATCCTGATAGTCGCTCAGCTTGTCAGGAAATCCTTCGCCTTTTGGGAAGTTCAGAAGTTTAGTACCATACTCACAAGAGACAGCTGAATCTAGTTTAGCCTTTCTTAATAAAATATTTCTTTCTTTTGTTCGTTTTTATCTCTTTCATCATTTCTTCGTTTGCTTGCTCCTTCGGATGTTCTTTTCCTTAATTCTGCATATCCTGAATAAACTCAGATTCTAAATTAATTTCTCTGTTATTTATTGTTTGTTGTTCGTGGATCAGAGCTAATCTGTTTCAGTGACCAATCATAGGTTTCCCTCCGCAATAATCGAGTAAACTTTCATACAAGCCTGAAGCTATTTGTAACATGGTTTTCTTGAATTCTTGAGTCGAAAGATGGAACGCTTACAATTTTATTTCGTTTCACTTCTTTGCTTCTGGAACTGGATGCTGTTATTTACACACACGGAACACTTTCTTTTTCGTCTACATGTTTTTCTTGTACCTATGTTTCATTCTTCTTACCAACTCAAAGTTCTATATTGGTGAGAAGTTTGCGAAAGCCTTCATCCTGGTATGCATTTGAACCCTATATTTCAGGGCTGTTGGAGATTTAATTTCGGAAAGACATTGCACTGCAAGAGGTGATGTCGCCGGACGTACGTTGCAGTACAAGTGTGAACCTCAAATCTGAAACAGTTCGCTTTTTTACAACCAAAAGTATGCTTCATTATCAACACTGTGTGACTGATCAGGGATGCACTAAGGGAAGTTCGCATATTTCCTATTGTATGACTAAACAAGTGTTTTCATACATGGCATTCGCTAGATTGAATTCCTGGATGTGAGTAGAAACAAGTCCAAGTCAGAATTTTGCGTGCATTTACCAGTCATTATTTCAAAAATTGCGAAAGAGTTGAGGAATCCATAGCTGGAAGGTGGGGGAGTTGCAAAGCTAAAGAACGGGGAAAGAGGGGAGGAAGAAAATTGCTGATGAAAGAATTCTTGGAAGTCCTACAAAGTTTGGCATCTTATAGAATTGCATATAAAATGAACCATTAAAACTTTGTACAGAAATTTGCCACTTACATGAAACTCAATTACGCACACTTTCCTTGTGTACAAAACTTATAATAGCTATTACAGCCTTTCATATGATTAAATTATATATTGCGAAAGTGCTACATAAACTGTATGAGTATTACTTTGGGCAATTGCCCATTGTTTAGGGCGGATGTAAGGAAGTTGAACTGAAGACATACACGTATGTGGACACAAAAGTTAGTACGGTTGTACCATATGGAGCCTTGTGAAATTAACCTCTTAATTTCGATGCTACTGTTTAAGGTTCGGTCACACACAGCGCTACGTACACTATGTTCGCTATACGAACAGAAAAATATCTCCCTTTATTGCCAATTTGACTGGCCACACAGACTTCCATATGCTACGTACGCTGTGTTTCCTATGTTAGCTGCGTCGCAGAGTGTACGCAGCGTACGTAGCGAACATAGCGTAGCGCTCTGTGTGGCCGAACCTTTACTCAGAGACAGATACTACAAAGCAGATGGGCAAGTTTCCATTCTCTTCTCAAAATACAGGTTATTTAGAAATTGCTTGTGTGTAACCAGAACAGTCTGGTTGTACGAGTATTACAAGGATGTCAGAATATAGGAAATGCACCTTTCGTGTGATCACATTGTTGTTGTTTATGTCTGCGAGAAAACCTTAATTTCAGGACAGTTTTTGGACAACATCGATTTGTTCTTGTTTGTGTTACATTTCAAACGTTTGAACGTTTCCTTTTTGGAAATTTTCTATTGTGGATGACACGTAATTAATAATAGGCCTATAGATAGCGATGGGATTGTGCTTAATGGTATAATATTTGTGCTTATCTTCGTGTCTCTCTGCCTCAGGGATTTCAAGAGGCAGTTTATGTACGTACCATTCATTTGGCGGTTTACACTGCCTTATATCGCCAGTGAGCGATGGTCGCTGTGGACGCATATGACCACCCGAATCTCGCCCTGCTGCCGAGAGAAATTAAAACTCGAATTTTGATTTAAGAGTGTTTAGAAATTGTGCTATAGATACCACTAAATTTATTTGCTTTTACTGAAGCAACCGGTAGCGTAGTTTGTCGAGGCACAATGCTACAAGTTGGAAGGTTGCGGGTTCGATTTCCTATGAAGTCATTAGATTTTAAATTGAACTAATCCTTCCAGCCACACTATGGTCCTGAGGTCTACTCAGCCTCTAACAGAAATGAGTACCAGGAGTCTTCTTGGGGGTAAAAGCGGCCAGAGCGTAAGGCTGACAACCTCACCGCCCTCTGTGAGTCGATTGTCTAGAAAATGAGGGAAAACTGACATCTCACAACCCTAAGGGCCTCCACAGCCTGTTATTATTGAATCATCGAACTTTATAAATTATCGTCTTTTGCCGCACTGTACGAGGCAAGGCAATGCCTAAATACGGTAAGTCACAGAGAAGCAAGCAGTCCTTTCCTTCAGCCTACCGTGCCATCTGTTGACCATGAAGATGGTTGTCTTGAATAAGGTGAATGAAATGTACTCGTGCAATATATGTAGGCCTGTTTGTAGGCTGCTTGATGTGGGGTATATCAAGTTTCAGGGGACTCGAAAAGTAGACATAAATCTAAATGTTGCATCAAGACACTTGAGCATAATGACTCTAGAAAGTGGATTGAAATGCCTTATACACCTGATAATACTTGCAAGATACAAGTCCGAATATCCTGTTATATCAAAACCATACTATGGAACGTTGAATTGAAAGGAAATTGTAAGTATTAATACAGGAATTCTGAGTGTTGTATATGTTTCCTGAAACAGCCACTCCTTGCCCTAATAATCCCAGTAAAGCATAATTATGAATGAGACTATTTAAATCATAGCTTAGCACGTCTTATAATTTTCATGCAGAACGAAGTGTATGCAGTCGTGTATATTGACTTCCTAAGGTAGGCCACACCGGCATGCGTCAAGACATGATGTCTGCGACATGGCGCAAAGAAAAGAGCACAGTTGAAACGAATGAGCTTATGAAGACCACCGTACACCGATCTGAGTCATGATCCTGACGTCATCTTCATGCTGACGAATCACGAATAAAGCAAGACTGAGTCTTTTGCCTCATGTCTTGATGCTTGTCTTGACACAGTTGGTGTGCGGCCGCCCTGCTATGTGGAACACATACTTAAATATCTCCCTTCGGCTAGCCTGTTGACTTCAGTTTATAGCTCATGAATAATTTCTATTTGCCTGTTTTTGAAAAAACTTCCAACTGCTTACAAACAAGTTCACGTTTTGAGGTTAGCATTAAATTCGCTTCGCGTCCAAATAGCATCAACAGTCACGTGAAATGAAACATCGACCTCATCATCACAACTCCACGGATTAGTCGAACCGCCTCCTCCGGCCTCTAATATTGTTACTTCTCCTTCCACTTTCTTCTCTGCTGTCCTGTGTACCGTCTCCCAGACGGACAATATTTATAGGCATGAAACAGAAGAGTAATGCGGAGCTTCATAAATTGCACCCATCTCCAATTATAAGGAGCATGCGGTGGGCAGGACATGTAGCACGAATGGGGCAGAAGATGAATGCAAGTAGGATACTGATGAGAAAGCCAGAAGAAAAGAGACTACTAGGAAGACCAGGGCGTAGATGGGTGGACAATACTAAAATGGATGCTCAGAGAGATAGGATGGGATGGTATAGATTAGATTGATCTGGCTCTGGATAGGGACCAGTGGAGGGCTCTTGTGAACAAGGTAATGAACCTTCGGGTTTCATAAAATGCTAGGAAATTCTTGAGTAGCTGCTGAGTTGGCGGCTTCTCCAGAAGGGCTCAGCTCCATGAGTGAGTGATGAAGTAGAAGCGAATCTGCTCCATCCATTAGAAACGTGTTTTCCATTTTTCTCTATATCACAAACGTGTTCATGTAAAGGGAACACTCCAAATAATTTCGTGTACCCTCATTTCTTAATTGATCTGTCCTAGTGCGACTTCTCTAATTCGTTTCTTCCTTAATTTTTCTTTCTGCCTTCTCAAAATTATCCGACATATGTTTCGAAATGCATTCATTTTCTTGTTACTGTCTTCTGAGGTGTGACACCTTGTACACTACTAGGTGTTTACCTTCATTTCGTAACGTTGAGAAACGTGGTACAGTTATGGGGAGAGGGCCGGCTTAGATAACAGCCCTTGGCGAACCAATCAGAGGAAAAAATATCAAAATATCTGAAGGACCTTTCCCGACAGATTTGCCGATTAATGTTCTGATGGCTGGTATTCAGGAGTCAAGAGTCGCTGTACGTAAGTTCCTGAACTAATATTTAGATCAGCTTATAGCTTGCAAGTTCTGTGACAGATTCTTATGAAACTGCATTTACGAAAAGTCTGCTAGCTCGTAAGTTCACGTATTAGCACGTGTAATATTCATTGAGTGCATTCGTTTCCTTAAATAACCATTTTACTTGAGGATGAAAGTATAATTTGACGTCCATTATCGTAGATTCCTCGTGCAGATCTGATGAACTCCATATATTACCAACCCACGCTTTAATTATAAGCTGTCAAGTAAGTTTTCCAAACTTTAAGTCGTCCTATGATAGAAGTACAGTGGTGCTCATGAAATATGTACATATTTCAACGTACAAAATATCTGCTTAAATAGTTTATTGGTAATCCAAATTTGATACACACGGAAAGGGTTGGCTGCAACACATGTTTAACTATAACAAGTGTTC